CCTCACTGAAATCTCCCTTGAATATACCTGCAGCCTCCAAACACACCCCTCTGTTGTTAACTTGTCCTGCGGAGCAGAATTTGGATGGGTAAAAAAATATCTGCACAACAATTGTGCTTACACGTGTGTCTGTGTGCGCGTGTTTGTAAGTGAAGCTGCTTGCTAGCATATGAGTGTGTGTGTCAATACGTGTTGTGTGTGTCTAACCCCTGCACATCAGTCCCAGCAGGAGAAGATTGACAGCATAGAGGACAACGTCAACACAGCCGCTGCCAACGTGGAGGAGGGGACCAAGAGCCTGGGGAAGGTGTGTATTAATGTGTGTGTGTGCTGATAATCTGATGTGTGTGCATGTGTTTGGGAGATGGGGAGATCGATGGCACTTTGCCTCCCAGCCATTCCACAGCGTTTGTCCCTATTGATCTGTTCGAATACGGAGGAAAGCTGCAATTAAGGAAATAGAGAGAGGAGAGGGATGGAGAGAGGCGGGATAAGAGGGGCGACAAGAGACAAGAAGAGAAGTTTGTTTGTATGTTTGCACGTGTGTGTGTGTGTGTGTGTGTAGCACTGAGAAGAGGTTTAAATGATTGTTTAATAGTTTTCCAGGAGCAGCACTGCCTTTAGCTTAGCACGCCCTTACACTGCTCTGCGCTGAGTGTAAGTCAGCAGACGACTCAGTGCCCTTCACACGTATCACACACTTGAAATGTCGAAAGGTTTGTGTGTAATACCCAGAATGAATCACCTGTTTTTGTCAAATGGCACACACATGCGCACACACGCACGCGCACGATGAAAATGAACAATCGTGCTTTTCGGTACAGATTTTCCTGACTTTACATTTAGTTTGAGAAATCTAAGAAGCCGTCCATGTTTGTCTTTGTTTTGAGCTCACTGTGGAGTAATTGGACTGTAATTACAAACACTCAGAGATGGTGATGACACACAGTCACACCTGTAAATGCTTACATAACTGAAAAAAACAGCCCTCTGTTATCTGCTTTCCTCTTTTGCTTCCTTTAGGACTATCTGCTTGCTTTTGAGTTTTCTGCCAGCACCAAAATACAGTCAGGGTAAATTTCTTTTTTTTGAGATCATGACGTAGAAAAAAAATGTATTATATCAGCCTCTCTAGCACAGCTAACACTACTCAGTAATCTGCAGAGTAGTTGAGCTTAAATAAAGGGTCAGAACAATATTGACAGGCATCTTGTTTTCATAATTGTATCATTTTTCAGTTAGCTAATGAGTCTGTGTATGAAATGTTTTAAAAATGTATGAAAATTGTCATTAAATTACCCAGACCAGGCTGATTGTACTGTTTTAGCAGTACAATCAGGGATATTCGATTAGCAGCAAAAGCATCTTTTGGAAGAAATCAGGCAAAATTTATTATTTTATTAAGATTTTCTACCTTAAAGTGGACTTTAAATTGTGAATCAACCAAGTAAAAAGCAAACAAAAACATCTTTGTAAATTATTTGAGCTCTACATCAGGGTCTGTGCATACAGACTGATTAAACAAAAACCCTGTGATGTTAACAGTCAGGACACACTGACCTTTAAACTTTTTTTTCAATAAAGCATTCTTTTTAAGCAGTTTCTTTAAAATTAAATTGACCCAAATAAACTAAACGAAAGCTGACCTCTCTGTAAGGTCACGGGTAGATGGAGTGGGCCGCACATTAGAGGAGGTTGTGGAGAGATAAGGCGGGTGCGAAGGACGTCAGATGTTTTAACGCATTTGAAAGCTTGTAATCTGTCATCAGGTCAAACGGCATTACACACAGACACAGACTCATAGTCACACACGACACCCACGCTTCCTCCACCCTCCACACCTGCACCCAGAGTCCTTTTAACTCAGCTCAGATGAAATTAACATTCCCTCAACTGCCACAGGGGTGGGGACAAGCGATGCCAGCTTTTGAACTAGATTAATTTAATGGTGAAGTGTTAATCAAGTGAGTGTCCGTGTGTGTGTGTGTGTGTGTGTGTGTGTGTGTGTGTGAGGTTGGTCAGGGAATCAGTCATTAATTGCCATCAGCAAAGAGCACCTTCCACTCTGATGATAACAGCTGTAATAACACACACAGCCCACATCTCTCTGATTTTTTTTCCTAAATGGAGATAATGAAAACGCTTTGATGCAGCCGTGGAAGTGACGGTTTACATTTACATACGCAAGGCTGTTTGTGTATTTATTTTCTAATTTCTCCCTTCTTCTGTGAGTTGATGTGTGATCATGAAAGACGCATCCAAACTCTATCGCTGTCTTGAAGCCACAAAGTACTAATGCCACCAAAGAAAGGTGTGTGTGTGTGTGTGTGTGTGTGTCTGCAGCGGTGTTAAATTAAACTAGAACATATCTCTTTTTCCTGTCTCTCCAGGCAGTTGGCTACAAGTTGGCGGTGTTGCCGGTTGCCGGGGCGCTGCTGGGCGGTGTATTAGGAGGCCCACTTGGCCTGCTGGCTGGCTTTAAAGCTGCAGGGGTAGCTGCCGCCCTGGGAGGCGGCGCCCTGGGGTTTGCTGGTGGCAACCTGGTCCAGAAACACCGCCGAGCCAAAGTGGATCTACAGATGAAACAGCTGACGGCGACGCCATCACCGCCACCATCACCACCACCGACAGATGAACCAGAGGCGAGGAAGGACAAATGACCCATCAGCCCCTGGTGTTCCACTGACCTATCACTGACGGTCCTGTATTGACTGACCAATGAACACCTCTGGTGTTGTTGAGCTTCAGAGAGACTGAATGTCGGGTGCTCGCCTTAAACATCGCTGTTACCAAGCACTGTGTAAAACAATTATGTAATGACGGCCTTAATTAAGAGTCACCTGCTGATGTTCCAGGGTGAATGGTGTTTCTGTGGGGATGTTTGTTTTATACACCACTGATTTTATGTTCTGAACACAGCACCAGTTTATACTTCAGGGTTTTTTGTTTTTTTGTGCTTTTTGACTATTGAGCACAACTCTCTACTAAAAACAATGTTCAGCACTCAAATCAAATTACTTTAAGACGGTTTTATCAGACCCTACCAATAATGTGAGCAGTTAATCCATGTTGCTTAGGCTCATTTCCAGGGTGTTCAGGTTTACCAATGGCTATGCCTCAGTTGTTTGATGCAGATAGTAATATGAACAGCTTTGTGTAAATTTAAGTGATACTTGGTTTTTATAAATTATATTGATGCACAAAGTGCTACTGTCCATATCTTATCCTGCTGCTGCCAAATAAAACATTTCTTTTAAACACTGGCTCTTCATTGGATAAACAGAATGAACCGCAGAAATGACAAAGCTGTAGACAACATCCTGTAAAATGGTTTTTAATTTACTTTTTTTTTTAACTCTTCTTCTCCTCTGAGATGACAGGTTAAGAAATGGCATCACACTCCCCCCTGTTGGTCTGTATGTGGGCTGATATGTCATTATGCAGGTATCTGTTGGCCTCTGTGGGAAGGGCAGGATGCGCAGTACAAACTTAGCAATGGGTCCCCGTATTCAAGAGCTCCAACTGTGGATTCTCAAGGATCTAGTACCAAAAACTTGTAGACGTATAAAGACAGAAAAGCAATTTTAAGAGAACTCAATTTTAAGTGGCAGACTAAATTTCCACCGTTCATCATGTGGGTTTTCCCCTCATGTTTTGGCCTTTTTACTTTAGCATTGGGAAAGTCTCTTCTCCCCCAGCACGATGACACATTTATCAGATGACAGCAAAAAAACAAAAAACAACAACAATCATCATGTTAAAGTACAGTATTTCAAAAAAGCTTCTCCTTTACTTTTGACTCCCAGGAACAGAACTCCAAGGTGTCACTGCCACAACAACCCCAATGAAAAGTACCCAGCCTGCCCTCTGACCTTTAGATTTCACCATATGTCTGTGGATTTAAAAGATTTCTAACAAAAGGATCCTGGCTAGAAATGTTCTGACTGCAGGATGTTTCTCAGCATCTTCAGATGCTTTAGAGGGTGGAGTGGACAGATCTGCCAAGCATTCGTATCCTTCATGACTTCGTTCTGAGTCAGCAGCAGTTCCAGCTTCTTGCGGATTGCTGCCTCAGGTCTGGACACTACAGCTTCCCACACTTTTTCTTTTTTGGTTGATCAAATTACAAAAGAAAATGTCATGTTCCTGTTAATTTGCCTGTGTGTTGTTTTTTCTTCTTCCTCTAAAAGAAATAACATAGCTGAAGGGTTTTCTGTAAAGTATTTCTCTTTGCGGCATGCATTTGACCTTCTGTAAGATCACACGGCTGCTGCAGAGAGGGCCTCCATGCAACATGATGCTGCCACCACCAGGCTTCATGAAGAGGGATGATGGTGCGTTTCTGGTGCAGATTTGTGCTACGTTTATACAAAACATTAAATCTGGTATGACATCCTTTTGATTGGTGGTGGAGGGAGGGAAAGAAAAACCTAACTACATCCACTGCGGCACAATACGGTAAGAAAAAATATAATGTAAGAAGATCCCAGGGATATTTTATAAGCACAGTAAGGGACATCATAATCAATGACCATGGTACCACTCGTACCAGGGAGAGAAGGGGTGCATCTCAATAGGCTGGAGTAGCTCAGTCTCTTTATCTTCAAGCCATGATTTAAAGTTATGCTACCCCTACCAAATATTCTTCTATTTCTTCTTTGTGTGTGTGTGTGTGTGTGTGTGTGTGTTTGTGTGTGTGTGTAGAAGATATGGAGATAAAGCTACTTCAAACAGGCATACAGTTATAACTTGTGCTATACAAATGAGTTACACTTGAGTTGGTCATATTGAGATGCAGCCATGAGGTCAGTGAGACTAAACGAGTATCTCCTGTCAGACAGGCTGAACTGAACTACCCACAGATAAGAACCGCACAACCGGAGTGAGTGAGGGATCTGTTCTGTTTTTCCTTTTCGTTTTTTCCCCTCAAAAAAAAAACAAAAAAAACAAAACACAAAATAAAATAAAAATGCAGGGTGATGTAAAGGAATAAAATAAAGGAAAAAACAACACTGCATTTAATTTAGACCAACATTGAGAGTCCAATGTAGCTCAAACATATTTACAACCTCCAAAGAATAAAAGTAAAAACACTTCTATTGATGTCCCAATGCCCCACACACACATTGTCCCTCTTTAGCCCACCCACGTTTTTGATTCAAAATAAAAATTGTGAAAGTGTTATGAAAATATAGGTTAGCCCAACATGGTTGTGTCATGGACTCCACTCTCCTCCTCCCGTTCTTCTTTCTCCTCGTCGTCTCTTTTTTTTTTTTTTCTTCAGTAAGGGTGTTGGGTGTTGCTGTTCTGGCCCACTAGCCTGTCCCAACCCTAACCCCCTCCCTGACCCCGGGGCGTGGCATTGAGTCACAGGAAGGCCGTTAAGGTCACAGCTCGTCACGGTCTCGGCTGAGGATGGTGTAGCGTGTCTCGCTGGGTGCCAGCTTCTGGAACGAGCTCTCTGGAGGACTGCTGGCTGCTTCTCCGCCCGTCTCCTCCTGAGAGAAGAAATCGGATTTGAAACAAATGGTCAAATTTTGCCTGAACTCCCCCGAAAAAAAGCGACTCTACTGCCTCCGGTGACTAACCTGTCCAGGCGTGCTGTCCGTGGGGTCGGGCCCGTGGTGGAACTCTCGGTGAAGCTTACCAGAGTGAAGGTCCAAAACAAACTGTTTCAGTTTGCCAGGGACACTGAAAACACAGAAACACATGTTGGACATCAACCATCTTTTATCCAATTTGAGGTTTGTACAGTTGTTCCTAAAAAAACAAACGAAAAAAAATCCCTAATACAGCTGAAACAAACCCCACTTATTTAGGAGGCTTGTTACCATAACCTTCAAGGGTTACTCCTAAAGGACTTTCAGGGGGTAAAGAGCTAAAGAGTAAAAGGAAAAATTTAATACGGTGGATCATTTATACATTCCAACACACAATGTCCGACAATGGAAAAAGAACTGCTTCAACTACAGGGATGATCAGAATTAGACGTTAATATGAGACGCAGCAGCAGCAGCAGAGGATACCAGTCCCTGCGGACATGTCATCAAGCAGCATTAATCCATATCTACGCCGCCCTGTAAAGTCTCCCTATTAACGACAGGTCATGAGCTGCTGTCATGTCACACAGGCAGC